GTGTGACTTGAAGAAAACCGATTATCACCCCTATATATATATATATATATATATATATATATATCATGCAGGTTATTCTCCTTTCATGACAACCACTTCACTTACTACCATTTTTTGAGATGCTTCTCCAGTAGCAGTTGTGTTTGCTTGGTTTGGGATATCTTTTCCCATTCCGCCTTGCTGCTAGACTTTAGGAAAGTGTGTTGTCCTTCCTGCAGCTCTCTACTTGGTTGGTTTAGGTGGATCTCATCAGTTTAATCCTCTCCCATTTACCTAACCGGTCCTTCGTTTGAATTACTTCGTCCACCTTGATTTTCGTGAATCGTTTTTCAGTGTGACATTAGTCCCCGGGAGATTTAATCATAAGCATCACAGGGAAACAATGAAGGCATACCCATCATGTGCCCAAACACTATTTCAACCATCCAAAGTACCACCCTCATAACACTAGGCTTGAGCAGGCGCTGTGTACTGGTGGCTTAAATTGTTCGAATGATACAACAACCCTCTGATCTTTTTCTATGAAGCACTTGCACGAATGACGTTTACCCTAGGGCCACACGATTCAAATTTTTGTTCATACTCTGGTCGGGCTGACAGCTGACGCTGACACAACACTCATTTATTATTCTTCCGCTCAAACATTATTAATCACACGCAAAATTGTCCGTGTTCTTTTTATGATAGAATGATAAAAAACATGGCCTAGGGGTACGCCCTTTCTTTCGGAGATTTCAGATGTTGGAACGTCATCACACTCGCTGATCGGGTCCCATGTGATAAAACAAACAGGCGTGAATACAGAGTAATCGGAAGACTGAAGGAATGGGTACTCTTTCAGTCTGCCGACACCTACCAAACCGCTGATCGAAGAGAGCCGGAATAGTACGTTAGTAGTGGAGAATTTAGGAACACTCTAATGAGGCTGCTGAGGCCTAGCTGCTTCCGGAATAGCGCAATAGTCCCAGTTCGAGTGAATGACGATAGACACTGACGGAATAGCGAAGGATCTCTGAGGTGCTAATTTCATTGGACATATGGTGCATAGCTTTAGCGAAATGAACGCATTCTTGCTGTTGGATGATGATCGCTACGATATGCCTTAGTGTGCTCGGGCCTCTCAAATCGCTCTTGAGGTACAACGTAGGTATGAAAGCATTTCGAATTTGATTTATTTGACAATCGGTCTGTAATAAATGAGCTCAGATGGATGTGTTTGGATCAACAGTACACAGAAAGGTGCTTCCGTTAACAATAGTTTTTGCATATTTTCTTTTAATCTAAAGCCTCATTACACAGCCTCCGAACAACTTGTTGCTTACTTGCTTCGTACTTTACTGTTTTAAACTGCATGTTGTATCTCAGCCCTTTGTTTCATTTTGCCTAACAAATACAGTGCTCCCCTCTACCCCATACACAGGTGAAGCTTTATCCCACTGTGAGATGCTAGATACACGAACAGGAGCATGGCAAGCAATCCCACCATCTCCCCACCCACGCATGAGTCACGGGGTTGCCGGTTCTGGAACACAGGCGTTTCTTGTTGGCGGGTTAGGGGAAAATTCTGTCGACTGCTTTGATATCGTCGCTGAGAAGTGGTACGCAGTTGGAAACTTACAAGAAGAGTAAGTCGATGCTTGATACAAAACGAAAAGCATCACATCAGACCAGTTGTTATTACTGAGGATAGACGATGAAAGGCCCAGGTGATTTCCTCGGTGGATATCTCACATCACACTGTTTTCAATTTTTGCATGACTGGCCTTAAAGAAATGACCTGTTCTAAGATTTCAGTATTGAGATTAGAAGACTTTCTGGGTAGTAGCGAGTTCAACCACTCAGTTCTGTAAAACAGTGCTTTTCACAGTTCACAGCTTTGATAATTAGAAGAACTTAGTTAAGAATTCAATCTTTTAGCAAGATTGTTTTATTGACCATGCGTTATTCACACTCTAAAAGCAAAGAGCCGCAGTAGTCCTTCTCAAAAGACGAGCAACTTTCTGGAGGGTCATAAACAAAGTTCTCAGTCAGTTACAGGCTAGCGCGTGACCTTTATCCTCTCCTCGTAACCGGTTTTCTTGAAAAGATTGTCGCGTTCCTGTGCTTAGGCATTGCTGCAGAGTGGGTGACGGACGTGACATTTCTCAATCAAATTCTCACAACAGAATCCAGACTAAGACCAAAAACCATTCGGTTTTCAAAGAGCGGTACTGCGGAAATTCCTTGGACTGTTCAAATCTATAGATGTATCTTTTCCATATCACAAGTCGAACCACTACCGTATTGACTGTAAGAACTAGGGTAGACACCAAATTGGCAATGAATTTGTAATGTGATCTATTGGATGTGGAATTCTTTTCGACAGTGGAATTTCTCGTTCGTATACGAGACAGCACTGGCGGTTATATAATCACGAAACTGGATGGTAGGTCTAAGTTTCTGCTGAAATTCTGGGTACTTGGTTCTATTTTTGGTGTCAAAGTATTGTCATTGTTACATGCTCTTGCCACTCGAACATGAGAACTTCGCCTATCCTAATGTGACTGTGAAGACACCCTATCTCTTACCTTTCCCTTCCGAAACAGACATGAAGCACCCGGAGTCATATGTCACGGTCGATATCTCTACGTGTTCGGGGGTGCCGGACGGCATGGCTCAATGACATGCGTGGAACGATACGATATCGATCGAAAACAGTGGGATTCCATGGCTGTCATGCCTGCTGCCACAGCATTTTCAGGTTTGTCTTCTGAACGTTTCGTTGCCTCTCATTTGAAGAATAAAAACGACTTCTTGATGCGCTGTATTCCACGAAAATTGTAAAAAAGCAACCTAAACTGAAAGATGAGATTCCACCTGGGAATGCCCGTGTTGTTTTCTTCCGCACTCCAGCACTGTAGCAGCACTACCCCTTTACACAAGACATCCCTATGAATCATCCGGTGAATAACGAAGAATTTGACATCTTGGGGTTTTGCGGGATAGGTATATTGTGGATAGCCACACCACTCTCGTTTGAATGGCCATGTTCCTGTTCTGGCGTAATTATTCCGGTGAGTCCACACCAAAGGGAAGCACTGGACTCGAGTTCCGCTCTTGTTAGAGCTCATCGGCAGTGCATATCCAATGACCGTGCCGGGATTTGAACCCCGGACACCTGACATGCGAGGCGAGCGTGCAACCACTACTCCGCCAATGCACGTTGGACGCGTCTGGCACATCGGGCACGCCAATCACATCGCTCAAGTTTGAACACGTTCGCCTGTTCAGACGTGATAATTCAGATGCGCCCAGCATGTGTTGGTGCAGTAGTGGTTACACGCTCGCCTCGAGTATCAGACGTCCGGGGTTCAAATCCCGGCACGGCCATTGGATGCGCACTGCTGATGAGCTCTATCAAGAGCGGATCTCGAGTCCAGTGCTTCCCTTTGGTGCGGATTCACTAGAATAACTACACCAGAACATTAACATGGCCGTTCAGACGGGAGTGGTGTGGCTATGAACAAGAATTTGACCTCATTAAATATGTAGTCCTTTTGTGTAAGAAGCCTCTAGCCAATGAACAGGTTGAAGGTGATGCCTTTACAAAAAAAGGCCTTTGCAAAGTGCAACCTCCGTAGTTTGATCAGTAAACCTTTTATGGCACTCAGAGATGGGCAGCACAACCACCAGCCTGATCTCACTTCACGTGTTAAGTAACTCGAAAGAAGCCGAGCTCTCGTAATCCAAAATAAGTTTAGATGAGAAGTGATAATCATTTTGTAGCCGGATGAACCGTATTATTTGTTTTAGTTTAAGAAATAATAGTGGGATTTTTTATCAGAGGCTTCTAAACAGAATCGTTCGTTTTTTGCCTTGAGAACACCACAGTTGTGCGTCTTGGCAAAGGAACGTTTACGTTGTTACCCATAGTCACGGGTAGTCTTGAACAAACTACAAGGGAGCATTGAGTAAGGGCCTTTGTATTCAATAGAAGACCTTTCAAGTAAGGCATTATCTGTTTTGGAATCCGCGAGAAAAGGGCAAACAGTGGTTTGTTCAACAAGATGGGAGGTAGGTAATACCGTAGTGCCAATGCCTTTCCTCGAATGTTGGCACCGCTTTCACTAAACAGATATCTTTATTTGTAAAACCCATGTATGTCCACATTCTGGTTTAAAGAACATTATTCCATTTGGGACGCTCTCCATCCCACCGAAGTAAAACATAATCAATTATATTACCCTCAGTTCCTGAGGACTGCTTTCCACCAATCTTTCTACATGAAGTTCCAAGAAATTCCAAACAAAAGATCGAAGACCTACAATTTTACTGATCTCAATTTCTTACTCTCTCCATACTGTCCTGAGTTGTTCTATCTGTCTCCCTTTATCTGATGCTGCAGTTTGTTCATCCGATTTTCGTATCTGCCATGTGTTTGGTGCGCATCATCGAGGCCAATTCTATTGCTATTCAGTTTTAGTTGTAGCGTGCCTTTTGACATTTGCTCAAGCTTTTGTTCAGTCCATTCCGTAAATAGATGACTTAATTTTTCGCACTTTAGGCCCAAAATCTGCTAAAGCTTCAGATGTATGGAACTCATAGGATGGTGAAATTCAGGAAGCATAAGGCAGCTGTGTGCACAGTGGACATTACTTTCTCCAGTCTGGCGGGATCCAGCTATTTTCAGAGAAGAATCATGTCTATACAGCCCGATAAATATGAATAACAAACTAAAAGATGCATCCCATGGCGCACACACATCCTTGTGTTCTCCTCGCCTCTCTCCCTGTGAACCTGAAATATGCGAAGCGTCGGTACATCAAACATTCACGACCGGTTTCCATGTATTCACGACTAAGATTCGAATTAGTTAATCCAAAGTTTCCATTAGAATGAACCCAAGTAAAAAGACGGGTTCTTTGTGTATCTCCCAGTCATGATGGGTCTATTTGATTGCCATTAAGGTAGTCAAAAACAACCGTCAAGTACTCACATCACTAAACCGGAGGGAATATGGACGTCATGAATTTTGGCACGCTTAGGAATTAACTATTCTTCTGTCCCCTAGTTTCCAGAAACTCTGTATGACACGCTGAATGAATCAATATATGACAGTGGATCATAAAGTACGGTCGACAACAAATTTTTAAAACGTCTGCCATCTGAATGGTCAGCCGGTGGTTAGGAAGTTTTTCAAGCTAACCACCAGATTTGTCACTCGCTTGTATTTAGTTGGAGGGTTGTTTTGCAAACAGGAGTTATGGAAGAGTCGACAAGCTTTGGCCTTAGGAAATCAGACTATAATTGCAGTACCGCTGAGTGGACCAGCTCCGATTCTTTTGAAGGGTTGCGAAGTTAAGTGACTTCAGCGAGAGAATATTAGGGATTCTACTCATCCTGACAGACAGTAGAAAATGAGAAACTCCACACAATTATATCAACCGCTGCGATTTTATTTTTTCTCCTAGCTACCGCAGTTTTTGAGGATTTCGTCTTCCTTCTTGGAGGAAGAAGCAACTCCGGACCATCCCAACGTGTACAGTTGTATGATCTATGTCGGGATCAATGGCACATACTTCCACAACAACTTCCAGCTGCCCGCTCAAGCGGCTGTGCTGTCGTTTTATATTCGAACCCCCCTACTGCAGGCCTACGATGAATTTTTCGAAAAATGTAGGACCGAATTCTGTCCAATGGAGGTCAGATGTTTCCCCCTATCATTTTCATCCTACATGCCGTTCTCTTTCATTTGTACAAAATCTTTCCCCCAGCTAAAACTGGCTTTTATTCCTCTAACTGGGGGGGCGTACTACCTCTCAAGGCTGGCCAAAGCTAGTCTGAGAAGCAGCTTCAGGCCTTGAACAAAATACGTTATCTGAATTCTTGCGATAACTTCGACGACACATTAGATTAGAAAACAAATTTTCGAATAACCAAGTTACAATGTCTACAATCCACTGGTTCAGCGTGGGTTGGAATTCAATCCCCTGGCGTACTGATTTTAGTCTTTTTTTTAATGTGTTGCCCTTCATTCTGAAAGCAGGTGCGTTGAAAATTTTTACATTACTCCCCAAAGGCGGCTGCCTCCATGAAGAGAGCTAAATTGCTTGACATTGTGGCAGATACTTTCGTCCAAAAACAGCACAGTTGTTCGGTCTGATAGCAGTGTACTTGGCATGCGTGAGTGGGGTTCGAGTACTTTGGTGGCCAAGTAATCAACATAAAATTGGTTCCGATGGTGATCCTGCTGATTGTTGCGCACGTCAGTCGACGACAACAATGCTTAACACTGTAGACTCAAAGTCTGTAAAGATTTTGTGTCCCGTCTACTGGTAGGTCCAGCTCGGTACTCCCTCATATGAGTAGTCATCATATAGGTGAGAAATCACCATGACGATATTGAATTATCTGCGGAAGTCTATGATAAAATTGAGGGGCAAAACGTAGTGCTTGGTATTGGCTTTACAATCAGTAAGAATAGTGCATCCCGAAGAAATGCATGTTCAACAAGTACACTGATGGTTGTTGGAGCTGCAAAACTCATGAGTCCTACAGTCGCCTAATGGTGTTATCTGAAGGGCGTATGCGACTGAAACGTGATGAGGTAGTGAACCATTCAGCCCAGGGTTTCACAACCTTGGTTTTACGGAGCTTTTCCCAAAGGATTGCCATGCTCCCTTTGTGGGTTTGCTTTCACGGGAAAACGAAAAGCAATCCGCTGCAAAACCATGAGTCCTACAGTCGCCTAATGGTGTTATCTGAAGGGCGTATGCGACTGAAACGTGATGAGGTAGTGAACCATTCAGCCCAGGGTTTCACAACCTTGGTTTTACGGAGCTTTTCCCAAAGGATTGCCATGCTCCCTTTGTGGGTTTGCTTTCACGGGAAAACGAAAAGCAATCCTTAGAAAAATTTCTGCAGATGTAACACCTGATAGGTCCAACTGAAAGTTGGGTTTTGAGACAGGTGAAACAGTGAGAGAGTCTTCTGTCTTTTCTCACCACATACGCAGGTGGTTAAAATATAGATTATTTTTATAGTTCGTTGACGAAGGGAAACCCTAAAGATGATAAAATCTGAGCTTTAGTCATACGTTGCTTACTGCTGAGTGCTACTTGCGCGGAAGTGATGTGAACAGAAGTGTATGTTTCAGGCAACCCAAATGCCTAGCTCAGCAGGCAAGCCAAAGAACACCAGTGTTACCTGAGTTAACAGGTTTCTCATCAACAGCGCAAGAAATCAACTAGGTAGCTTCGTGGCTGAAGCACCTGCCAGAGAAATTCTCGGCCAGCGAGCGCAACGCTGCTTCGGAGTTGTGACCATTCCTTTCAACACTGGTCTCGGAAACTGGACAGTACCTATTAATTATGATATTCGTGACAGACCTGGTGCGCTATGGTCAATACAATATTGGTTAAAAAACGATTCTGCGCACGATCTTACAGTTTTTGTTGGTCTGTACCCTCAACATCTACCTTCCGATACCAAATTAGAATTGATAGTATGAAGTGACACGTCTCGGACTGCGGTAATGTCCAGACACTTCAACTTTGGCACGATAGAACAGTGAACGAAGATTGAATATTCGAACATCCTCTTGGGTAGCAGTTTTCAAGTTGTTTTGAGGACTTCATAGCAGGTTTACTCACACCGGAAATGCGAAACGTTCAGCTGTTAGAGATAACTCGGTGGTTTTTGTGGATGAAACTAGCCCATAAACACTTAAAGGTCACAAATCCTGAATAACTCTTCGCATACTACATAACATAGCTAAATTCGTAGCAGTAAGTACATAGAGATTATGGTGTACTCTTAGCAGCCAGATAGCACAGTTTTCTTCATCTTGGTTCCATAAAGCAAGAAAAGATACTTATAAGTAATTGAATTTCGTGGTTTGTTCCTCGGATTTTTACGCATTCTTGCATAACGTCTTTTTTTGTGAAAACGTAACAGACTTCAATCCTAAGTCTACTCATCAATCACGTAATATTTCATCCTGAAGAGAGATAGCTCGTTGCTGGTTCTCATGAACGTATTATAATGGACTACAAGTTTTGTCGATTTTAGCGAGGTAATCAATCATGTACCCCATCGATGCTTTTGTTTGCAGCATGTGAGGTTTTAGAATTAGTCTCTAATGGACAAGTTTTATCGATTTTAGCGAGGTAGTCGATCATGTACCCCATCGATGCTTTTGCTTGCAGCATGTGAGGTTTTAGAATTAGTCTGCTTTACACCGGCAAGACGATGGGATATTGGATATATGCTTGAAATAGGTTCAAACATTTGATAAATGCCACAGGACTTGGTGATGGACCCAGGATCGTTTAAAGCCTACATGAATGACCTTCGGCAGAATTAACCTGTCCGATCCATGATACTCAGACAGTTTGCTATAGAGGCAAATGTTAGTATCTCAGGTAGAGTAGATGGTCGTTGGCTTGTTTGCCGAGCTGGGCGATTTGATTGCAAACACTTCACCACCAATCTTGGTGACATTGTGGCGTTTTGTACCTTTATTTTGCTTCCGCTATAACATTACGTGTTTAGGCAATTGCAGGACCGTTGTTCGTTTGAATACGAGAAACTACAGAAACGCGCACTTGTACAATTTCACGCAATACCAAACGTGGTCACGTGCTTCCACTCTCTCTTCTGATTTCGCTCGCACTCACAGCGGTCATTCACGAGTCTCATGTGCTTACTCTGGTATCAAAACACTTTAGACTTTCTTCGGAATCTATTATATATGGGAACTGTTCAGAAGAAGACCCCTGGACAACCATAATTGGATTTTTGTTTACTCGCTGACCTGGGCAAACGATGAACTATTTTAAAGGGAACAGTGAGTGAGTGAGTGAGTCTGTTCCATCTAACTTCTCTATCGTTGTGTACTCAATCTAGCGTTATTACTTTTATTTCTTTTCCGCGCGCTTCTGGTAAAGTAACTTATTGAGTAGCCAGACCACTACAACATCATCAGTGTATTATAGGGGAGCGTAATGGTGCGTGGCGACGGGTTGGTGGTTGTGCGTTGAGTAGTCTTACCTGTGTATTGATATACGTGCTGCTAGCCTGGGTCGACCTTCGATCACGATTAGTTATTCGGTCGGGTCGCTCTGTTATGATGTGTCCTCGTTCGCCGATGTCCACGTGACCTTTTAGCTCGGCATCCCACGCCGTCGTACTCTGGTCGATGCTGGAGTGACCTTTGTCCTTGGTCCTTCCGACTTCTGGCTTGTGGCCTTTATTGATTTGACTCCGAAGAGTTCTTTGTTTCTTTTTCTGTGGATCCAATATTTGGTTCTCGTTGAGTATTCTGGTTGGGATTTCAGTCCTTTGCACGTAGAGTTGCTCAAGTTAGATCCAGTTGAATGCACCGGTTGATCGAATCCACCATGAAGTGTCATCCTTCGAGAAATTCCCTTCGATGTCTCGTGCCTCCATGTGCTAAAATGTTTGCGTTTCGCAGTTTGAATTTGCAGTCTTCTTGGTCTTCACGCTGCATCTGGAACCAATTGTAATGCACCTTTAGATGATTTTTTCATGTAACTCCTCACCGTGGCAAGTCTATCGCTCAGTGCTGAGAACCTAAAGCACACCTATAGCTACACCCTTTGTTGGCTTGTTCCCTTCAGGTGAACGGAATTCGCTGAACGACGGGAACAAATCTGACCCGAGAAGCTTGGGCGAGGCTCTTGATCCATCGTATCAATCCGTGAATTAATGAGGCTGTGCAAGGATTTTTTCCCGCCTTCCTCACATTTTATACTCCCGTGACTTTCTTTTTGTCCTCCATGAAACCGCAGATCAAGCGTAGTTCAAGCAGCATTTACTCTTGTTTGTATTTTTCCAGACTCATATTCCTGTTGTCAGGATTCCGCGTGTTGCTATACCACAAAGTCTTAGGTTTTCATTCTCTGTTTAAGACAACATAGAGAATTTGTCTGGGCGTATACCTAAAAGCATCATAATCAACTGACTTATATTAGCTGCACTCAATCCCAAGGAGATTCAAAAAGCTTCTTGCGTAAAACCTATCTGTGATGAACATGACTGATATTCTATTCATTGATCTATTCATTATTCTCTTGTTTTAATATTCTACATGCTGTACATATACGCCAATTCGAACACATACGTGCTACTTGTTGCGCTGATATGAATTCTGGATTTCTAGTTCGTCTGGTTATTCCGATATAAGTTCGAAACTTAATTTTCACATTTTGACGTCGCGATTGGAACAATTCATCATGCCTGCAGAAATGGAACCATTAGATGTTAATTCAACTGCGCGTGACGTGGAGGATTATTTGGAACGATTCGACATGTGGTGTATCATAAAATCCGATATGGATGATAAGAAACTCACGGCATATTTCCTACATTTCGTTGGCAAGGAGGCGTATACGTTGATCAAAAATTTAGTATATTCTGAATCTCCAATCGATATTTCCTACACTGCATTGAAGAAGAAAGTTCTTCAACACTTCAAGCCGATTAACTTCGTAGCAGCCGAAAGAGCTAGGTTAAATATGTTGACCCGCTCTCATTCTTAGTCGGTTCGTGATTTCGTATTGCAGCTGCAGACACAGGCAGCCAAATGTGACTAC